TATATATATATATATATATATATATATATATATATTAACAAAACTTACTTCCACCATATGATGCTCCGACAGCTATGACCGGACAATTTTGTGCTGACATATCCTTCTTGACATCGACGATTATTTGAGCATAATCTGCCAAGGCTTGCTCCGAGCTAAAGAACCCAAGAGTGTTCCCATTTTTGTATGCTTCCTCTTTCGACCCAAACGGCATCGAAGTCCCGTAATACCGATGCTGAACGTACAAATCATTAATACGTAAATACATTTATATACACGTAATTTAACCGCATAAACTAACATACCTCGATATAAACCAAAAGAGCGTTAAACCGCGAAGCAAGCACCCGCACAAACCCAATGTATTTTACATCTCCCATGATGTCCGTCTCCTCCCCCGTATAGAGAAAGATGGGGGAATTATTGGTCGGGCCACCCCAATATCTACGGTTCACGACATAACGTTGTTGAAAAGTCGTGTAACTTTCCGTCTTAAAATTGAAATGATCCAACGTTTGCGTGTAGTTGTAAACCTCATACTCTTCCGAGTTATGGGTACCTTGGATGTCAGCCGTTTTTGGCGTAAACCTGTTTCTAACACCTAACTTGGTTGTTCGGAAATGTTTTCCAGACACGCAAGTTAGTGTTGTTAGTACAAGTAAAAACGACTTCAAAAAGGGAAAATGATGTAGTTGTGCCATTGTAACCGTAATTTTTAATTAGGTACAAAATTCCGTTAGGCTCGTACTCGACCTAAATAGTCGGAGATTTGTGATGGTTTTTGTAAATAGTCATCCCTAAAAACGAAGTTTTGGACTAGTATAACCGTCTTTATTTGTATTTTAGTAACTTAGTATATCGTGTTATTTATAATGGACAATAATATTGGTTTGAATTCAAACAAGAATATAGACGGCATATAAACATCTGAATTTTTATGCATTAAATATATGTACATTATATGAATGGTTCAAATGGTACTTTCAGTTGGCCCGCTTTGGAATAACATCGGTGATCTAAATATCGATCATAATGTAAGCTAAACCACAAAGGCGAACGTCAAAAGTCCCGATCTTGTGGGAAAAAAATCAGTAACATACAAATTTGTCTGACATACAACTTTTTTAATATCATTATCTGATTGAATATTTATTATTTTATATATGACATATACAAATTTGTCCCATTATGTGACGTCTTGAAAAAAAGTCGCGTCTTCGCTGTGGCGTGGAAAAACTTGAGTCTTGACCTCGTCGTCACGTCATGCCTCATGCTAAACCTTTGATTTTAAAACATTATTACAAGCAAATCGTATGAAAACCGAAAATAATAAGTATCCAGTGGAATTTTCCAAATTCAATGTTTGAGGGATTTTATTGAAATCTTGGAATTTAAATTTGTCCTTTACACTAAACACGTGATTGAAATAAAATAAAATCCACAATCTAATTAAATCTGGCAAACCAAACAAAGTTTTGACGGTTGCTGAATGATTAAGTGGTCAGAATGATTAAGAGGCTATCATGATACAGTGCAAAATGAAATATAATTGTCTGGTAATTGTTTACAATAAAATTATGGCGCTTAATGGTTAAAGGAGTTTTATGATACAAAATCATTTAAAGGGTTTTATAACCATTAAGAGAGACTTTTTTTTATCAAACAAGATTCACCTCTTAACAATTCAAATGCTACCTTTTAATGAAACTATTAATAAATAAAGAGACAACGAATAAAAACTCTTGATTTGTGTTATTAAAAGGTGTTTTTTGAGGTGAAACAAAAATTGAGACGGCAAAAGGACCGTTTTGAAATCGAATGATTTGAAATTGAACGGTCGTTTCAATTAAATATTCGTTTATTACAAAATGAGATCAACTCATTGGCCGACTAACAAATATTATATGCAAATTTCATGTTTGTTTTATTTTTCTTTTTTTAAGAAATATGCAAATTTGATGTTATTTTACGTAAATGAATGATTTTATATAAGTTTTGTTTTTTTAAATATAAATAGATTTTCAGAGGTTTATTAACCCCTGTTTATAAGGTGGATAAGAGTAAATTTTCAAGCAGCTCTAATTTTAATATATTGGAGATGTTTGGAATTGCTTATAAAAACAACTTATTGATTTATTTCAGTATGACACTGGTAATGAACATTTTTAAATGTTTTGATAAACATTTATTTTGATGTCAAACCGGTAATAAGAAGTTTTTGAAAAAATTAAATCATTCTAACTTATAATAAATTGATATAGACTTTTATAGAAAAACATAAGTTGTTTTAAATAAGCAATCTCAAACATCCCCATTGTAAATAAGATGTTTTGAGCAATATTTACGAGTAAATTACAAATTTAGTCATAAAATCAAAATAAATACCAAGACGGGACTTGTGGTTTACACGTGTGCACTCTTTGAGTCTCTCCTTCTAATCAAATCTATTAACTCAGTGGTTCATCTTTATAAACTAAAAATAGATTTTGGTATAAAAAAATCATCAAATGCTTATATAAGAAATAAAGATGCTTCTATATAAATGTTATGTGCTCTCTCTACCTCCTACTAAAAGGATTTTAATTTGATATTTATCCATCTATAATCACTGCAAAATATATCAAACAAATATTGCACCGTTTTTATCAACACTTGGGAAAATATGGGTCGTTATGCATTTTAATCCATAAGAGTTAAAGTCAAAAAGGAGAATCAACAAAATTGTTTTTAGAGTAGATTACTTTTTTCGTCCTTGTAATTTGTTAAAAATTGGGATCTTCTTCCTAGTAGTCTAGAAATTGAGGTTTTTGTCGGTATTGTTTGTAAATCATCTGTTATTTTCGTTCTTATGATTTATAATTTATTGTTGTTTTGATCTTTGTGATTTACAATTCTTTACTGTTTTGATCCCTTATACTTAAATACGATGACTCCGGACTATCTGTAGAGCAGGTGGTCACCCTATGATTAATCAGCTCACATAACAAGTTAGATATCTAGGTTAATCAAATATTCACAACAATTTTTTTTTTCTGACTTCCACACAAAAACTTGATTTATTAGATGTTGTAAAAAACTAAAAAAGTATAATGATTTATTGTATCATCTCCCAGTAAGCGTAAGAGGTTAAAAACAAATCTCAATCCCAATCCCAAACCCAAACCCAAACCCAAAACAAATATGTTATTAGTAACTTAATCTACCTATTGGTCTGGACTTGTCATCAATGTTGTGCTACCATCTTCATGACCTTTGCCAATTTCAGCATTTTGCCATCAAACAAAGCAATCAGCTTCAGCAATTACCAAAATAACCTGTTACGCGATTATACAATCGATGGAACGGGAAACAATGGAATCCGTCCAAGGGTGGTAATGAGATTTACCTGACGAGAAAGATACTGTTATCTTTATTATTCCAAGTGTTAATTCCCGGGATCTATTATTTCATCCTAGAGTGTTAAATATGCATTTTGTGTTCACCTCCGCTTACGGGTGCCTTACACTTCCCTTTAGCTTCGACCAATTTATTTTCTCGGCACATTTTGAGCATATATACATGTGCGCAGATGACCTGGATGGAAAATAAGAATCAAGGTGAAGTTGATATGAATGAATAACTTGGTGGTTGGATGTTAAATCATTTAGAGTTTGTTGTTACTTGTTGGGTGGAGAATCAAAACCATCGTTACAGCATACGAAGCAAACTCCTCTTTTTCCATGACTTGATTCACCGTCAAAATTCTGTATACCATCTTCACGCGTACCTGCATCATATAAGAGACGTCTTAGGCAGTGAACCAGATTTAAATGAAAACTACGTACTTACTATATGTTGGTCTGTTCCACAAAAATGTACACATTTTAGGAGCTATTTGGTCCCTTTTTTAATTGTCTTATAGAAACCAAATTGGAAATGTGGTTTTTCTTTTAGAATGGACAAGATAGAAAAGTTGTGTCTAATTCTCGAGAGCAAGATTTGAATAAAAATTTGAGAAATAAAATAAAAAGCAAGTAAAACTACAACGACGCGAGACAGACCTCCTGAATTTGATGATCGATTCAGAGCTGAATAAACCTCTTGCTGCATGGACCGTTGCAACTCAAGTTGCATACCCATGCAGGCCTCCAGCATCCTCTGCATGTCATTCATCCTTTGCTGAAGCATATCCATATCAATCCTTAATCCATTGATGATATCCCGTCCCTGCAACAGAAGAACCATCAACAGCGTTCTTCCTTTAGGGAATGCATGTGAATACGAATAAAGTAAACAAGGTTCATGCTGCCACTCAAATCTGTTGTTTCACTGTTTGTCATCGAGGAAACAAGAAGAGAGAGGAAAGATAATTTTGTATCGGGTTTCAGTGAGAAGAGAAGACTCACAGTTCCAAAGTGCTGATTGATATCAGGGAATTGCCTATCAGCTGCACCTTGCAAATCATTGTTACTTTCTGTTTGGGGGATGACTGACGCTGAAAGATGAGCCTCTATGCCACCTGGATTCTCGTCTAGACTCTGTTGTTCCTGATTTTGCTGTTCTCTGCCTAGACTCCATTCATTTTCCGAATCAAATGCCTGATCTTGTCTATCCACATATGATTGCAACAACTGGTTCAGTCTTGCACCGAAATCACTTTGAAGAAGATTAGAGACTCTTCTCCTACATATGAATGAATTTCTGAATTAGCTTTGATCATGTGAATAATGGAAGTGAGTGGTTAGTAATGATTAAATAAACTACCTGCTTGTAAGTTCTCCGAGTTCAAATCTGCTGCCATTATCATCATCGGACAAATAGAATGCATAACTCCCACCAACCGGAGCAGCTTCCTGATAGGAATTTCCAACAAACCAACTTTCTGTGGAATCCTCTAGAGTATTGTCATACCATTCTTCATGTAATTCTTGGAAATCACTCCCTACTGTTTCCTGATACCATCCATCTTCATTGTCATTTAAATTGACATCTGAGTCAATACGAGTTAAATGATGCCATCCACCCTCATCATCATCTTCTGTAGATGATTCCTTCCACTCTTCTGCCTGTGTGGAAACTTCTTGCCAATTGAAGCTATCTGTGCTGGTCTGTAAAGGATGCAAACACACAGGTGCCTCGTGTATTTCCAATTCCTCCACATTGGACTGACCAAGCATTACTTCGTCTACTTCTGGCAGAGGGCCGTGTGCTATGCATTCAGTGCCCAATGTTCCTCGTGACAGTTCAGAGTGGTAAATATTTTGATTTGTTTCTACTGAACCATCATGATCCTGGCTTCTCGTTTCAGTGAGCGGTAGTTCCTCACTTTCCTCGTATTGCAGAATGTTTTCATGCCTTTCTCCTACTGAAGTGGCAAATTCTTGTGGATTGCAGGCTTCCCAGCCACTTGCCAAATTAGTTGTTTCAAATTCCTCACCAATTTCATCTGGTATCTCCTGAACAATTTCATCAGCTTGTTCAATCATGTCATTGTCAGACGAGGTGTCAGAGTCAGACGGGGCGCCATCTGGAGCATGGTCATGGTTATTCAATCTGGAGAGGAACCCTTTCCTGCTTCAAGTAATGGTTGGTTGTGTTTAGTATATAATCCCATTAATAAAAGAAAAAAGATTGAGAATTGTAGAGTTAAAAGAATATACTAAGATAATGCGGACAACTATAAACTTGGCAGTTGACATGCCATGATCTGGAAAGTTCAGATCCATGAAAACCAGAGCTATGATTTGTGACCGTTGTTGCAACTAAAAAAACATATTAATAAAGTCAAAGTTTCAAACGTGCTATTTCACTGTTCCTTGTTAAGGGTAATGTGTTGTAGACTGGTGTCGTTTGATTGAATTCAAATTGAAATTACAAAGAAAGTAATACTCCTATGGCTTTCGAGAGGCCAAGGTCTCTCCAGAGCCTAAGCTCGATTTACAATCACTCAAAAACCGAATGCCTAACAGAAAACGCTCCCACCAACAAATAATGGATCCCGCTCCTTATTCCAAAAGGGCAAACCCCAAAATGTCCTTATAATTATACCCACCAACTACTAACAAAATAAAGGATTCCCCCTAATTAACCCCTCTCTTATACGTGAAATGTATAGGAGGTTTACCATAATGTATATGAATTCTTTTGTATTTTTAACGCCATTTCTCTTCGATTTGCATTGTTTCTTTTACAGCTTACCACACTATAATCAAACTTTTCAAAAACAAGAAGTTATAGTTATAACTACTTATATCTCCTTAAAAGATATTTGATATAAATTTAAATACCGTATACTTGTATTATACTACTACCAAAAACCCTTCCATCATCCCACCATTCCCCTTGTTGTCCCCCCTGGGCGCTCTGCTGCCCTTCTCCAACCTCGTTGTCCCCATGCCAACCTGGCCTGCTACTATTTGTTTGATAATTTTTTAATTTAATTTGAATTGAAGGACATCAGGAATTTGTATTTTGTGCATTGGCTACAGGTGTAAAAGTTAATGCATTTATAACTTGTATCATACTACCATCCATAACCCTTCCATCACCACCACCATCTCTCACTGCGTCACCGGCCCTGCCCGCGTCATTGTTCCCTCCCCCTCCCTGTTTTTGTTCAAAAATTTTGTTTTTATATTTTTGACCACCAAACAAATATAAATCGGAGATATATTTTCGCCAACATTTGCCATTTCAGCTGGACTGGGTGGTTGTTTTGCACTTTTCATAATTTAACCGCCTAAATACGGCTTACAAATGTTCGATAACCTGCATAAACATTTTCCTGGAAAATACATGGTATTAACAATGGCAAAACCTACATTTTGTCCATTACAGTTTTATGACTTTAACAAATGAGTCATTATGGTATTGTTTTATTAGTTTGTTGACTATGTTAACATTTCCTTATAATTTAGCGATTGCCGTTACAATCGATTAAATTATCAAACAAAGATAATGACAGATCTCCAACTTAGCACTCCATGTGCATCATGGTTTTTCAAAGAATGAAAAGTTGAAAACCTACATTTTTTGTCAAACACTGCCTTTTAATTTAACTATGGCCCCTGTCAATTACAAGTTGTAAAACTGTATCTTCGGTGGGTGGATTATACACATAAGGACATTGTTGTCACTTCTATAGAAACAGCACAAATCATGATTTTGCTACAAGCTCATGATCCTCACTGCAGTCTCTAACGGTTCACAGTGCTTGAAATCGCATACAAAAACTGCGAGAAAAAAAAATTAAACTGTACGCAGCAATGCTGAGGTGATCTTGAATGCCCACAAAAGTAAAATAGCAGAAGTACTTAATTATGTTTACTCAGGCAGTCTTCTTAATGGTTTCCAATCCAAAGCACAATACATTTATTTGACATCACTAATGGATACGCTGTGGCAATTCATCAAAGAAGATTCGCATTGCAAAAATGCTACCGATGCCTTGTCAGCAGGTTATGAACAAAGGCTTGAAAGTTCATACTTAACTTAGAAATCTACCAGAACACATTAGAGTCATCTTCAAAAGACAATGAAGAAAGTACAAAGCACTTTAGAATTCTGTGAATAGGTAGGAGGTATATCCATTTATACTTATTTCTTACATAATTTTGACCTAATTATGCAAGTTCATTCTGCTGTATGCTTTTCCTTCTTATTTGTTGGTATTAATTTTGACACTGGAATATACTGTGCTTCTCGTGCACTTTGTATAGAGAGATTCTTCACTCTTTCGATGTATCTTCAGGATTGTGCTATCACATGCGCCTGTAATTCAATTTTTGTAATCCCTTATATTAAATAAAAACATTTCAGGGCTAGGGTTCAAAAGCGACCAACTATAATCGTAGTGTCTTCAGAACAGAAGGGTGGCCTTATCTAAATTGAAGTACATTACAAAATCCATTAGGCAAATACTTCACTAATACATGTATGGTCATAAAAAACCAAAATTAAACCAACTATATTAGGCAAATACTTCACTAATACATGTTATGGCCTTATCTAAATTGAAGTTACTAAGAAACTTCCAGGCAATGTGCACCGCCAAACAGTCTAATCCCTGACATCTAGCACTTAATCATAGTAGAAGAGTGACTGCATGAATAGTGAATCTAAACGAACTAGTCTGACAAAGACAAATGGAGAATGTTCTTCACACCTCAGGTAGATATGCAAACAAAAACCGAGGAAAGAAAGGAACAAAATGTACCTTATATCAGATACAGCTTGTGTTTGCCTCAATAACCCCAACTCATTTGCTGCAACGGAAGTCTGTTTTTCACCTTCTACAAATCTTTGATTCCGCAAAAATCTACCTTTGAGTGAGGACTACAAAAGAATTATAGCATTAGTGAAACAAACATACAATAGTAATGCACATTCTAAACTAAGCAAAATAATAGCTCGGTTGGCAAAGGGGCGGGATGACTTTGCCCAAATACAAATTTGAAACAATGAGGATGAAACTAAGCAAATGTTTGCCCAATTACAGTCTAATCGAAATAAATGTTTGAACCTACGAGGATAAAATGCAATAAATGAAAAGCAACTCGCTTTCCCTGCAAAAGTATTGCTTTGCACCTCACTCTTTATGTCCTTGAAAGTGTCCTAGACAAAAAGTAAACATATCATCTCCACATATACCATCTTGATACTTGTGCTATAGAACCTATAAGAAGCACACAACTCTTTCATTACAGAATACTACTCTCTCCATTCTGCAATTAGAGTCAATTTCCAAAATTTGCACACTAAGCATGCTTGTAACTTGTGAGTATGAGTAGTTGGCATGAGAGCACCAGAATGAATTCTTTTTGCTAATAAAATGTACTCTAGTTGTGGAAATTTGTATGAAAAAAGCATACAGGATGAAGCATCCTAAGGATGTTTAATTAACAGAATTTTAGCATGTAATAATGCCTAAACAAGGAATTCCGATTTTGATAAGAATGTTGCTGTCACATGTCAGCAGACAGCAATGCACAATCTAAGTAATAGGTATCAATATTACACAGAGCAAACTACAGTAAAGCATTATCATCATTTTCTCATTGATGGAGCTCATGATTGGTGATGATAGGTTTAAATAGCAACAACTGTTACAAAAAACCCACATAATGGTGCAGTTGCACTATGGATGTTCTAAGGAGCTCACCTGAATGCGGTGGCGATGAGCAAAATTTGATACAAATCTATTCTCCAACAAACTCTCAAGCTCCGTCTCCCTTTCCCTCTCAAACTTCGTTAACAAGTCAAGAAGAGCCTGTCTGCCATATATCCTTCGGATAGGCCTTCGTGCACCAACCCCACAATCTACTGATCCATCTTGAACTCGTCTGATGTGCGAACCAATTTCTGTAGCTGGCTCTTCTAAACCAGTTCGACAACCATCTCCTTGCTGAGTGCTCAATTCTATCTGGTCCCTCACTACCCTCACCCTCTTGCATTCATTCTCCCCAAGCCATTGTGACCTTGAGCAATTGTTTATGTGCGAGTTATACGATGTATGGCCCCCAAAGCTTTTGCTTCCCCACTCATGGAAAATCTTCCTCACACGCTCCTTTTCTGGGACATCAAAAGGAGACTGTTGCAAACTCAGTCTGTTGTTATCCTCTTGTCTGTTATGAAGCACTACTTGATTTTGGTTTTGGTTTTGGTTTTGATTTTGAGGACACTCATTTTCGATTTCATTGGCATCCCTTGATGTGTCTTCACTTTCCATGCTTTCACCTCCCAAAGAAGACGAGCATCGACTTTCATTACCAGTCTGCATGCCACTCATTTGCTTCCTTCCATTCTCTCCAACTCTGCCCTCACTTTCAAGATCCCTCCACATTTTCCTGATGGAGGATGTGTGGGTGGTTGACCTCTCTTTGTTACCACACCTCCTTGATGCTGGAGAATGATTTTCACCAATATATGAATCCTGCAATGAAGCCTTATGTAATCCAGCAGTTGCCATTTCTTCACTTTTACCCACAAGGATTCTTAATTATTGTGCTGATCTCTGAGTCCAATAAGAAGCCTACTTGTTCCCAATGCTTTCATTCTTCAAAATTCCAGGATCACTACAATTCACCAGGACTACTACTCTAGTAGTAAGATTTAAGTTAGTTACATGAACTACATTAATCCAAATTTATAGCAACATTATTGCATTAATTTTGCAATTATAGAAAGTGATTTTGGTAATTTGAAAAGGCGGCAGTGCTAGTTATTTATTAACACAAATACTTAAACAATTTTGCATCAAAAAACGTCTCTGGACCTAAGAGCTGTAATTTGATTATGAAAACTCTGCACACTATTATCTTACGATTCATAAACATAAAAGAATTGAATTAACATGTTCGATTTCAGAATATCATTAAAGAGAGCTAACATTTCTCAGAATTTTGATGTATAAGCCAAAATTAATTCATATGTTCCATCTAAGTAGATTCGACATAAAATACAGAACAAAAAAGGGAAAGATACATCTTACAAAACAATATAAATCAAGAAGATATGCACCAATTGAAATAGATAAATTCATCAAAATTAATAAATGGACCTGTGAAATGCTCTTTTCTTTCCTTCTTTACATCTCCAAATTCTTCAGTAACATGAGCCAATTCAAAGAGCCTAATCATATAATAAACAAAATATGATCCGAATGAAATAAATAAGTTCACAAGAATATCAATATCATTCTGTCTATTTCAACACATAAAAACAAAAAACATATTACATTCAATAACAAATCAAAATATGAACCGATTGAAATAAATAAATTCATCAAAAAACATATTGCAAACAATAATAAATCAAAAAATATGAACCGATTGAAGACCTGTGAATGCAATGTTCTTCACTTGTTTACGCCTCCATATTCTTCAGTAACATGAACAAAATCAAAGAGCCTAATCATTAAATGAACAAAATATGATTCGATTGAGATAAATAAGTTCATAAAAGATGTATATTAACCTGTCATGTGCTATGTTCTTTATACGCCTCCATATTCTTCAGTAACATGACGGAAATTAAAGAGCGCAATCATAGAATCAACAAAGTATGAACCGACTGAAATAAATAAGTTGATAAAAACATGAAATGATCTGTTGATTACCTCTTTACGCCTCCAAATTCTTCAGTAACATGAATGAGAATTAAACAACCCTGTCGATAGTAGGTATTAGTCACACCAGCAAATAAAGAGAGAGAATGTGTGTGTGTGTGTGTGTGTGAGAGAGAGAGAGAGAGAGAGAGAGAGAGAGAGAGGAGACCACGTTTCTCTTGAAGTCGCATAAATTGTGCCTTAACTGCAACGTCTATTTTTGAAGGTGGAAGAAGAAGGGGGATACATGTGAAAAGACTATTCTGTCCTCCTTCAATTTTAGGGAAAGTGCCTTTTTTACTTGCTTCCCTGCAAGGAACTTGTAGGAATCTTGAATTCAACGGTAAGTCTGAGAAAGACAACGCGACGGGTCCCTGGGGAAGATAAATACGATGTCGTATAATTCACTTTTTTTAATAACCATTTTAGCTAAATCTAATACTATATAATAAAACATTTAACAAAAGCTTTTAGAAACCTTTTTTTATGCATGAATTACTATTTATTGATGTATATTATTTAAAATTCATGATTACAAATAAATCATGCATAAGTACAACTTATTAAAGCTTTATGTTTGAATTCGTATAACTAACTGTAATAAACATAGTCAAATACAAGATAAATATTTCATTTTAAATATAAAAAATCTAAA